GTTCTCAACTGTGGCAATCCCAATGTCTCAGGGACATTTGGCAATGTCTGGAGACATTTTTGGTTGTCATGACTGTGGGGAGTCCTACTAGCATCTAGTGGGTAGAGGCCAGAGATGAGCTAAGCATCCTACAATGTGCTGGACAGTTCCCCACAATAAATTATCTGGCCCTAAATGTTAACAGTGCCCAAGTTGAGAAATCTCAGAATTCTTTATCCTGATGAGGCACTTTTCCACCACCTGGTGGTAAAAGGAGGGTCTGCAACTTCCATGTAGCTCCCGCCAGAAGCCAGGGGATTGAACTAGGGCCTCAGAAGTAAGAGGGAAGGCCATAAGAAGGATAGCTGTAGTTAGAATGGTAGAAAAAGCAAGGAAAATTCATGGCTTGGAGAGTCTATGATGTTCTCACAAAGACCAGCAGCTGCTCTTGCGGCTGCCATTCTGTTATCTGTAAATCTGTGTTACGATTCCCATTTTCCAGCCTTCCTGGGACTGCAGAGACCCAGAATAAGTAGGTGCTGAGGCAGGAAAGGCTTTCGGTAAACTTTATAGATTTAAGGGGGTATTCTCTACTTGCACCCATGGGTGTCTATAGATAGAAGGGGGTATTCTCTACTTGCACCGATGGGTGTCTCCTCAGTACATAGGATGATAAAGATTTTGCTCTGCCAGGAACAATTCCAGACTGGAGCATATAGGACCAACGCAAGGCTCCTTGCTTTGGTTCAATTTAAGTATTACCTCCATCTCAGTCCTTCTAAGGAATGCATTTGCAAGGCTTAGGCTTCCTCCCTTGACTCCACTCCTTCTATCGTCAATTCCAAGTCTATGTGGAAAAAATATCTACTCTTGTTTTGCTCATCAGTTTTACTTCTTTTTTTTTCATCCACTAGTTTTCTGTTTCCCAATGATCACTTACTAACGAGTTGCCCAACTAGCAGCTCTGTTGCATGTTCCTCTCTACTGCTCTCAACGGGGCTGTGGGCCACTGCTCACTCCTGCCTGCTGGTCACTTCTGGAAGACCTGCATTCTCTCACCCCTTGCAAGGATGCTGCTCTCTTCCCATGGGTGTTGGAAAGAGGAGCCCTTATTTTCTTATGGAGTCCTTATTTTCTTTTTGCATTGTTTCTTTATTATCCACAACCCCATTGTTTAAATCTGTCTGGATGTAAGCAATCTTTACCAAGGCCTGGCAGGATGTTGCAGATTGGTTTCTTCAGAAGCAGATGCTGAGATGGAGCGTGGGGTCCAAGAGGTTTATTAGGGATCAACACCTGTGAAAGAAAGGGGGTGGAAATAGAAACTGGCAGAAAAAGAAATGGCACTGTGATGCAGGCCTCACAAACTTTCCTGAGCCAGGTAGGGAGTTCTGGAGCAAATGAAGACCCACAGAACATCCTGTGTCAGGCTAACATATCTGGATCTGTCTTTATATTCCATCTCACTCAGTCTCTGCATACAGGATGTCCCAGGAAGGGTATGACCTCAGGTGAAGAGGCTCTCTGCCATTGAGGCAGATTCTGAAGATCTGACAGCTGAAGACTCGCTGCTTACTTCTCTCCCCTCTCAACTGGGCAGTAAGTGCTTCCTTGAAGGACGATCTGGGTGGCACATTTCTGTGTCTTCACAGAGGAGTTGATGGGAATCACAATTTGAACTACAAGATAAACATGATTGTTTCCATGGTTCAAAGAGAAAGCACCAAAGATAATTAAACTATTAGGGAGGTTTTTCCCAGGAGTACATGTCCTGGTTCACATCTTTTCCAATTTGGAATAAATGCAAGCACCTTGGATTTCATTAAAAATGATACTGAATTTGGGGGCTGACAGCTGTTGCAAAGGAACCCAACAATACTCTAATTCTTCTCTGACCTAGCAACCTTTTTTCCTTCCATTCCTTAGCCCCTTTTTGAGGTTTACATTTTAAATTCTGTTTTATTTTTAAAGTCCTATTTCGAGCACATAAAATACAGGTACAGGAAACAATAAAGCAAACACATTTGTGATGACTACTTGGGTCAAAATATAGAACTTGGATTCTCTTTTTTCAGGAACTTACAATTGAGAATGGACTGTAGGCATAACTATGTTTCAGTATAATATCATAGCAATAATAATAATGTTAACTACTGTAATTACTTCTATTAACATGACTTTTGCTGCTCTTGCTGCTGCTGCTGTTGCTACTACTACTTCCTAACACTATTGGAACACATACCATGTGCCAGGCAAATATATTATTTAGAATTATCCTCATACCTCCACCATCAGATGGCACCATTTTATAGATGAAGGAAATGAAGCAGAGACAGGTTAAGTAACTCATCCAACGTCTTATAGCTAGTAAATAGTGGAGACCCTATGAGCAACTAAGCAGTCTAAATTTTGAGTTTGTGCTCTTAACTAAAACTGCAAGCTGGCATTCCCTAACTCTCAATACTTGACTTATGTCTGCTTCTTCATCTTGAATTATCTTCATCTTTTTGTTTCTTCTCCCATTGTAGCCTTTGACAACATTTCCCCCTTTCTCCACTCCGATCACCCCAACTTCTGGTAATGATCATTTTGTTAGGTCTGGAGCTGAGAAGGAGACACATGAAGCCTCAGGTGCAGCAAAATGCTGTTTTTGAGCGTCTGTGTGCAGAAGGGTGGAGGCTGAAAAGAGCATCCATGCCAGGAAGGGGAGAGCCTTGGGTTTTATAGGAAGTTTGAATGGAAGTTTGGGGAGGGTGAATTTTTCTGAACAGTAACCGGTTGCTGCTGGCATTGCCACAACTGTCTGTGGTCAGAGTTAGATTTACAGTCTCTGGACTCTCGAGACTCCTGCAGCTATTGTTTCATAAGCCTTATGATCACTATCTAAGATTTCCATTAACTGCATTCTGTCCTATACATACTTTCTGAGTTCCCATCCTCAGCAAGCCTAACATTCCACCCTTTTTATTATATACATACAAGAAAAGGGATGGCAAAGTATGGCAAAGGGTAAAAATTAAAAAGTAGAATGATTGGGAAGCAGACATCGTTGTCTTTTTGACTAATTCCTGTTGATAAAGGGCAAGAATTGGGTATTGAGTTGGAGGTGTGGAAGGGCTTGTTCCATCATGAAGATCTCTCTGATTGATTTGTGAGTGATGGCTTAAATATTGTTTTTAAGAAAATATAGAAAAAATTGTAATAGACGGGGGCTGAAGACGAGTGTTAGTATAATCATTGCTAGGGGTCCTAAGAAGGGTACAAGCCAGGTCATTCTGGGAGGACAGATTGGATAGAGTTCCAAATTGAGTCTGCTATGTCCTGTTCAGAGAACCTTTTTTTAGCTACTTTGCATTTTCCAGAATCCGTTATGTCCTTTCTTCTACCTGTCCTGTGGTGTTTAGATAGAAACAGCATGAGGTTTTTGCAATCGCACAAACTTCTCCTTCTGAAGCTAACAGATAATCTATTGCTATTCTATTATCTCTTACCATAGCAGCTAATGAATTAAGGAAAGCTGGTAGGAGTTTAAAGTTTTCTCCTGTATCTTGGGCCACCACAGTCATAGTAATAGTGATATTTTTGGCTGTGAGTACATTGTATGTAATTCCTCCTGCCAATCCTGCTAAACTGAAGAGTGCCATGACTCCCACCAGCATGAGACCTATGGGTCTCTTTTGGCAGTGTTGGTGGGGGATGGGTTACAGATATTATTGATTTTGGGAGAAGAATGGAAATGTCTTTATCTGGTGGTAGGATCAAAATGTATATGTCATGGAATTTCATTAAGAGTGAATAAATATATATTCTTTCATTTCAGGGTATTATGAGGGTACAAACACTATGGTTACACTTTATGTCTTTGCCTCACCCAAGCGAGGGTTAAAGGCATGCCCTTCCCCCTACAATACTCCCTGTGTCCTTTAGTTGCAGGTTTACCCCCCCCAATCCCCCTAATCCCTGGAGAGTATTACTGCCATGTGATCACCCTAGTGTTGATCAGTTAGTACCAATCTGATGGCGAGTACAAGTGGAGTCCATTCTTCCGATCTTGTGGTGCCTCACTTTGGATAATGGGCTTAAGTTTAATCCAGGAAAGTATAAGAGGTTCTAGATCAATGTCGTTTTTAATGATTGAGTAATATTCCATTGTATACATATACCAAATTTTAATAATCCACTCATGGATTGACGGGCATTTGGGTTGTTTCCACATCCTTGCAGTAGTGAATTGTGCTGCCATAAACATTCGGGTGCAGATGTCTTTATCATAGAATGTTTTGTAAGAGCGAATAAATATTTTAAGAAAATTTCATTTTAACCAAAATTTTCTTTTTAATTATAGCCAGCTGGATCACATACTAAATTCCTTCATAAATTCTCTTTATAAACTTTATCCCAACCTGCACAGACCATCTACAAAACATGACTAAAACTTTCTGTTTTGTCCTAACATTCCCATTTCCTGAATAACCAGTTATTTTAGGACAAAAAAAAAATTCTATACAAAATCCTTTCTTACCAAAAATATATTTCCCACATTCATTGCCTTTTTAAATCTCTCTCTTACTCACAAGTTACTTTCTGTTTTGATTTCTACTTCCCATATTTGCTTGATGTTTCATGAATTAATGAAGGCTCTATTCTGGTCAAGTCTCTGGTTTATTCTTTCCTAGAACAGAATATGTCTAAATATTGCTATGCTTGGGAATCATGAACTTTCTATGAATGTTTTTATATTGAAGGGTTATTAAATTTCCCCCAAAACTTCAGAGGGGGGAAAAATTTCCTTAAAGAAATTAAAAAGTCAATTTGTAGCTTCCAGCCAAAACCCATATGTTGGTTGAAATATTGATACAGTTATAGAAATTTGTAGCAGGCTGCAATGATTTTGATTTTCCTCTGTTAAAATGACTTTCTCTGAGACATTATGTATTTTAAAATAAAAATATTATATCTAGAAAAATAGTTTAAATTATGAAGTAGGTGTTTTAAAATGGATTTTATTTGATTTTATCACATATACACATATTTTAGTAATTTGTTTTTAAACCAGAAGGAATTGTGGCAGAGAGAAATGAACACCATTCACAGGAACTCTTCAACTCTTGAAATGTTAATTGTTTTATTTTTTCACATTTCATTTTAAGAATGGAAATAATGAAGGTTCTAATTGTAAAGAGGTGTTGTTTTAAGATTGTTCAGGCATTGTGACTCTTTTGTTTAGATACAGAGGCTCTTTTGTGGTTATTGAGTATTATTGTCTTTCAAGTCCTCGAGCACGGTCTGCTTTGTGATTTTTGCCCATGCATCAGGGATTTCACCCCTACCTTTGAATTTTTTCTGATATTTTTCTTCTAGCTTTGATCTGAAGTTAGAGATAAACCATTTCCAATATGGCTGGGTGGATACAACTGGGGTAATACTCCATGTGGCATAATCTCCTCCTGCCTGCTGATAGTTCCTATATAAGCTTTTCCGATTATCTTCCAAAATTATTCCATGCTTGCTTTCTACAGAACTAGTACAGAAATCAATGATAAAGTGATCTGTTGTATCTTTATACCACCCATTGACAGCCTCAGGACGGTGGAAGGGAGTACTGTGGTTTTTATGTGTAGGAATAGTGTTTGTACAAATTGCTTTACAGAAAGGACATTGTTTCCAGCAGCCACTGAGATGTCCAGAGAGGATTTTCTCTATTTCAGCAATCAGTTTTTCTGGAAGCATACCTGAACAATTTTGCTCTACTCCCTTCATTGCAGGATCCAAAGCTGTACTCATGGCTTCTTTGAGAAACTCAATATCTTTTATCTCCTGGTGTTCAATGTTTTTCAAGTCTTTTCGTGGAAAGATCAAGTTGCTTCCCAGGCAATCACAGAACAAATCCAACCACTCAGACGCAGTGCTGCTTTTATCTTTAGCTATTGCTATGGATTCATGAATGGAAGAGAGGATGATACTCTTGATGCCATCTAAACTTATTTTTAAAAGAGTCTTTATTTTTTCACTTCCTTTGTCTGAACAATATCTGTTAATACAGTTTTCAATGTAACTCCTAAAAAATGATTTTGGATTATGAAGGTATTGCCAATAATTATCAAAGTTCTCCTCTTCTGCCAGAGAGATGAGAATGTGTTTCTCCAGGTTAGCCCTGTCTCCATTGACTGCAGGGCAGGTAGCTTGCATGTCCTCAGCTATTTTAATGGTCATTTTTTTCCATATGGCGGTGGAGACAGCACGAGTTAGCTTGTCCCACAGATAATCAACAAACGTTTTTATGGAGGTTGCTCCTTGGCAGGAGATCTTAAAACTCGTGAAGAAGTCATCTTTCTTGCTTTCCAAATATTGTACAGGATCATTTGCTCTCTTAAATTCCCTGTGCATTTGCTTAAAAATCTCCGATGCTTTTTGCAATAAACACAAAGATAAGTCCATGGTATATTTACTTGTAAATGTATATCCTTCCTCAGAGGATGCAGATTTAACTTCCTCCTCTATTATTTTTAGGATTTTCTCGAAATAAATTGCATTATAATCACACTGTTGCTTGTGAATGCTGTTAATAGTTTCAATACATTTTGAAACAATGGAGTCAGTAATCCTATTAATGGACTCTTTATCACAGATCCCTAATGTATAGTTCTTATTCATTTTGACATGTTCATCAAAATTGATTTGAAACTTTTTTCCAGAAGTCTTCAGTATGTTTATCTCCTTTTTGAAATGGTGGAAAAGGATGTCTTCACAATCCCCATCAGGGTCAGGCTCTGTGACTTGAGGTAGAGTTGGGGACACATCATAGACCCATTTTTCCCAAAGTTGATTGAATTTCTCATGTAACTCTTCCTCACTCAATTCTCTATCCTTTACAGTTAAAGCCAACTTTTGGCTCTTTTCCAATAATTCGTTTTCATAATCTGTCTTTTTCTTATCCAGCCTTTCTTGACTTTTTTTACAACTAATAAGTTCATTGGCTTTACTTTTGATCTCTGAAATAAGTGTGTCTTGAAGGATTATTAGCTTATTTTTAAAATTTGCTTTCCATTGAACCAGTATTTCACTCTCTGGGTCTTCATTGAAATATTTTTCCAGTTCTTGCTCAATAGCTTCATATTTTTCTGTAACTGCAGCCTCAAGTGTGCTTGATTTGAATGTCTGAATTTTTCCATTCTGAATCTGGTTGATCAGCTGGTTCTGTAAGCCCAGCATGTGACTCCTTAGCTCCCAGCTCCAGTGGTTATACCTGGTTTCCAGATTGCTCATGGCCATGACTTCTCGGGTGTTCCTGAAACTGAAAATAAAGTTCTCGTTCAGCAGGGCTCTCCACAAATCTTGAACTCGGAATTTTACATCTGATATCTTCATGATATTTCCCCTGGATTCCTGTTCAGCAGTCATAAGAATTTTACATTTCAGTTCCTGGACATTGTGGCTATAGCGAGGATTGGGAGGGGCCATTGGGGGATTACCATCCCAAAGATGAGCAAAGTAGTAGACGTGAGTGTTGACATCAAACTTAATGACATCGCTGAAGCAGGTTACGTCTGAGCACTGTTCTTGTTTAGCAGCTATTGCTGCCATTTCATCTAGTCTCTGCTGTAGCAACCTTCGTCCTTCCATAGTTTGGTAATTAGCTGTAACGTCTCCCACATTCTGGTGGACAAAGAGGCAACTTGGGAAGATTTTTACCTGTTTCATCCTCAGAAAGGCTTGGACAACTATTTGTAAGATATCCTGCATCTCTGATGGATTCTCCCCAAAAATATTGATCAGAGTCAAGTTTGCAAGTCCAATGACAAAGGTTGCCAACTCATTGTCCCTATTCTGGGATTTGTTGCTGAATTGTGGGGATCGAAGTCCTTCTGTGTCCACAACAAGCATAAAGTCAAAGCCAAGTTCCTCTGTGAATGTCTTCTTCACCTTCAGGAGCTGCATGTAGGCCCCCTGGGTACACCTCCCTGAACCGACAGTGAACTGCAGCCCAAAAAGGGCATTTAGCAGGGTGGACTTCCCTGAGCTCTGCAGACCAAGAATAGAGAGAACAAACACCCGTTTGTCTCCAAGTTCCTCAGAGACCTTGTCAAAAACAGCTGCTATCCACTTCAAGGGCACATATGAAGCATCTCCATCCATCAGCTCAATGGGAATACCAGATATTACCAGATCTGCAGCAATGCGGGGAAGGGAGAGAAGAAGGGTATCTTTTGGGGAGGAAGTTTCTTCTAGAGCTTCATAAATCTGGCCAGCTTCTCTGAGAAATTGCCCAATTCCCAAGGTACAGTCACTAATCTCTTTGGAGATGACTTCTATTTCATTTTGCTGGTATTTCAGAGAGTTGCCGTTAGGTGCCTCCTCCTTTTCTGTTTGTATCGGTGACCACAAAGAGCTATGCTTCTCATACTGTTTTTCCAAGTGTTCTGCAGTCAGATTGTCTAAAAACACACTCAGCCACTGCAAGAAGTAGAGTTTGGTATGAGTTTCTGAATTTTCATGGAGAATCTGAAGGAAAGACTGCATTACATTATTGAGAGAAACAGCTTTAGTCAGCTGATTGTGCCGTATTTTTTGCTTATCTGTCTCAATCTCACTCTTGTATTGTTCAATGCTCCGATTTCCCTTTTCTCTCAGACGATAGAGTTCTTTGTCCCTCTTACACCAGAGATGCCACAGTTGTCCCTGAAGGGGTAGTAAATTTTCCTTCATCCGAGACAACTTCATTTCTCCCAGAAGAGCCATTAGACTCTGTGCCTTTTCTTTGGCTTCCTTGCAATCTCTCTGGTCTTCATCAATAAGGAATCCTTGCTCACGAGCAATCCGGGAACAGTCCTCTAAGCTGAGAGCATTGCAAGAGAGCTCTAGCAAACGTCTGATTGTGGTTATGAGCTCTTCTGTTAATTCTGCTGCATTTCTATTCCTGATGCCAATTGTCACTTTTTGGCTGGAAGTTTTGGCCGTGGTTTTTTCTTTGTTATCAAGCAAGCAGATCAAAGGTCTTGATGACTGCCCCATGTCACGGACAATTTTTCGGTTTTCTTCATTGTTATCAGAAGTTGACATGAGCACCACAATGAGAGAAGAGACCTTCTTCAGGAAAGCGAGCTGCCGCTCATGTTCCTTTGCATCTCCATGAAGATTCATGAAAGTCACACAGTTGTCAAGTCTGTCCTCATCGTCCCCTCCAGGACAGAACCAACACATCTCCACCATTCCTCTCATCAAAAGACAGTCTTTGCTGTTTCCTCTGCAGTGTCGGTGAAAAAACACATCATGTTTTTGTTTACTGAGAAGACAGTTGATGATCTGAGATTTGGAAGAAGAGAAGCCATTTCCAACTCTAATAAAGGACACAATAGGGGTAGAGACACGACACATCTGCTGATTTTTGTAACTCCTCTTCTTCCCTTGCTGCCAACTTCTCCTAATTTGTCTGAGAGACCAGAGAGAAAATTCAATTTGAGAAGTGCAGGGATTAGGCACCACCAGAGGGAGGGCAAACTGACAAATGGAAAGTTTGGTCAAAATGTATTGTCTGGCAAAATCATCTGCACAGTGAAAAATTGCCATCTGAATATCCACTGGGTGAATGTGGGGTCTAGGTTTAGTGTCTGAAGGCTTAGTGGGAGTATCACTGTCATCAAATGGATCAAATGCTTCATTTTCCTGATTAGAGGCACTTGAATAGACTTGGTGTTCTGTGTTTCTATCATCTTTGAAGACCAGGTATCTCAGCTTATAATCTAGCATCATTAGCTTCTGCAGAAAATAGAAGGGAAGCTCCCGTTCAGAGCTGGGCTGGGTTTTGTACACAGAAGTCTTGTAGATCAGATGGAAGTTAGCTTGGCTCATCCTTTTTGGGTAGTCATGTTCTAGGCCTAGACGCTGGAGTAAGTCTAGGAAGGCTCCATTTTCTATCACCTCCCATTTCTCATTTTCATTATCATGTGGTTTACAGGGCTGTTTCTTTTCATGGAAGAGACTCTGCAATTGTTTTCTCACCTCATCCACTTGAGAAGAAGAGATGGTGCCTTCATAATCTCCATCAATAAGCAATTGTAAGTCTTTCTCGAGGTTTTCCCAATCATGATCTGCTCCAGGTTTCGTGAGAACATGTTCAACTTCTTTAGAAAATGAGTTTCCCATGTGATGTCTTATTAATGCCATGCGCTGTGTTTTCTCTTTTGGAGATATAGCTGTGACTCCAGTTGTGGCTGTCAGACCTGTGAGCACCAGGAATGCTTGAGCCCTGTAGCTGCAAATATTTTTGAGCTCCTGGTATTTATTCCATGCAGTTTGAATTTCATCCAGTAGGAAGTTTAACTCATCACACCTCAGGAGATACTGGAAAGTATTGTTTTCCACATGATATCCTGCACCAGCTGCAATGGAAAGTAGCAAGAGCTGTGTGTCTGGCTGGTCTGTTTCTTGGAGTTTATTCAAGAAGCAGTGGAGAGCCCTACTGACCTTGTAAGTGGCCTTTCTTTGAGATTTCTCCACTGTTTCTGGGCACTCAGATTTGACCTTTGCTTCCATGAGGTCATTCTCGGCTTCTTGTAAGATTTTAATTAATTCAGAAAATTGGGAAATGTTGACTTGCTCTTGCTCTGACTCTGACTCATAGATCCACTGTATGAGGGAGTGAGTCTGAGGGAAGTTTGTTACTCTGTATATGTGAGGATACAGAAGGACATCCAACTGACATTTAATAAATTTAGTTTTATAATTGGAAGTTTCTTTGCAAAAGTTGACAATTTTTACTAGAAAATTCTGCAGATGCCAGTCTGTGAGGCATATGTTAATCCAAGGGTCATAACTGCCTAGTTTTTGACTCAATGTTTGCATGAAATTTATCAGTTTTTCAAGCTGCTCTTCAGGATCAGATATCTTCCAAGATTTCAAACCCTCTAGGAAAGCCCTAGTCTCCTTACTAGCACTTAGTAATTCCTCTTCATCCTGGATGTGGGCAGTATGGCTAGTCATAGCAGTGTAGTGGTCTTTCAGATAGTCAGCCACCTTAGAAGGATACTTAAAATCACTTCTGTGGCTGGAGAGGATGATGTCCCAAATGGGCACCAGATGAAGTTCCTGGTCAATGACAAACCAGTTTATATTACTGACAACGAGGCCAGCTTTCCACTGGATAAAGCTATTTGCTTCTGGTGGGCCACCTGTCTGGGACGCAGATAATTGGACTTTAGCTTGGAGATTTTGGGAAGTTTTTGTCTGAGAGGTTGTGTTTGAATCAGAGTCTGACACAGTCACACCTCCAGCAAATTTCACTGGAAGTGTACTGAAGCTGCTCCTTACGAAAATATCCAGGGCCTTTGCTGACTGCTGTTTCACTTCCTCCAACTGCTTACTGTGGAAACCCTCTAAAACGGCTTTCCACCAGTAGATGCCCCCCAGGTGCAGAGGGCCTTGGTTAGCATGAGAGCCAAACCTGTGGAAGAAGCTTTCAGCCCTGTGTCTCAGTAAGGAGGATCTGTCTGAGTCTGCTGTCTGATGCAGAAGGTCTTCAATGTATTTTAATTCCTCAAGAGCAGCATTAGATAACTGGAGCTGATCAACGGGAAAGTAGCAGGAGGCCAGGGGAATGTAGCTGAACTTGGTTGAGCAGAAATAAGAATGCTCAGAATGTTTTTGTTGAGTTTTCTTGAATTTTGAATGCTTGCTGTAATCAAAACCAGCTTCGAGACAACCTCCCCAACCTTCACCTTTGCCTGAGATAATTGCACTAAATCCCTTCTTCTCTATTTTCTGAGTGAACTTGGATTCTTCTTCAGAAGATGTAAATTCTACTGTTTCCATCCGTGTGCCCTGCCTAGAACCAGAGAGTGAGAAGTCCTTGGGGACTCTGAGTAGCTTTTCTTTCTTCTCTATCAGGCCTCCTTGCTCAGTGGTTTTGTAAATTCCCTCGAGGGCCAGCCCTCCAGATGCCCGGCTCACCAAATCTTTATCTGGGAGGTTTTGCCACTGGGGTAGTTCCAGCTCTGTGAGTTCAAGTTGTTTCTGCATGTCGTCTATGACTTCTTTTAGGGATATTTTAGAAGATGGCCAATACTCTTTGGGGATGTCCATTGCTTCCCTTAGCTCTGCTTCTTTGCTCATTACTGCTTCTTCTTTTCTCTGCTTTCCTTGTGACATCAAGTCCTTCAGCTCCTTCAGCAACTGTGCTGCCTGCTCTTGCTTTTCCTTTTTCTTCTCTATTTGAGACTTCTGTAACTCTGACACACTATTTGAGTGTGCCAGGTTCAGAAGCTTTTCCAGGGCCCTTTCTTCCCATGTATATTTTGCCTGGGATTTCAGCTTCTGGAGGTCTTTTTCCTCTATGTGTTGTAAGGCCTGGGGACAAGTCACACCCAGGTGTTCCTGAAGCTTAGGAAGCCAGTACTCAATAGCCAGGCCTACTTCTTTCAGCATCTTTTCGAGATCTTGCCTCCTTTTGTCTCTAGGGACAGGCTCAACAGGGTTGTCTTCTGCTGTGTCCATGGCTGTGTGAAAAACAGACACTCAGTTAGCATGACTGTGTTCTGACCTTAGGTAGTGTCAGCCACATGGCAGAAGGGTGAATATACTCATAATGCAAGTGTCCAAGGCTTTCTCATTCCTCTCCTTTAATTGTTCCAACATATATATATATATGTGTATATATATATATATATATACATATATATATATATATATTTTTTTTTTGAGACAGAGTCTCACTGTGTTGCCCGGGCTAGAGTGCCGTGGCGTCATCCTAGCTCGCAGCAACCTCAAACTCCTGGGCTCAAGCAATCCTTCTGCCTCAGCCTCCCGAGTAGCTGGGACTACAGGCATGCGCCACCATGCCCGGCTAATTTTTTCTATATATTTTTAGTTGTCCAATTAATTTCTTTCTCATTTTAATAGAGACGGGGTCTCGCTCTTGCTCAGGCTGGTTTCGAACTCCTGAGCTCAAACAATCTGCCCGCCTCGGCCTCCCAGAGTGCTAGGATTACAGGCGTGAGCCACCGCGCCCGACCCCAACATATATCTTTTGTTAACACCTTTTTTGTGTGTGCAAGACATCATTGTGGGTGTTCTCAACATGGATCGCCTTTTTAGTTGTCAGGGTGAGTTGCAACTTTATAGTCTGAATTTGGCACTTCTCCTTACACAGGATCAGTTGCATGGAAAGCATTAAGTTGAGAGATGGAATTTGAAAATATGCATGAGTTTGATAGCTTGATATTTATTTTTAAAACAACAGTGATGCCACCAAATTGATTATCTTTCCTCTACTAGTTTCTTTGAAACCTGTGTTGCCTGGTTCCCTTCCTATCTCTTAATCACTTCTTCTTACGTCATTTCATGATATTTATTTGCTCTCCTGTCCTTTTAAATGTACCTCTAACCTGGTTTATGCTTGTCACTCACTTCTTAATTTTCATGTTCCCTCATTAATATCATCTTTCTATTACTTGAATATAGCGACGCCATCTACATCTGTGTCTGTAGACCCAAAAGCTCTTTTGTATCCAGTGTTTTATCAATACTAAGTTTTCCATCCAACTGCCTTCAGGGCATATCCTTGGACAGCAGTTGAGATAAGATTTCACGTTTCAACTTTGTATATTATTCAAGCTTCCCTTCCTCCTATAATTCCTGTCCTACTGAATGGTACAACCATACTTCCAGGCCAATGGGTGTCCTATTCTTCCTTCTTCTTCCTAATGTGAATTTGGTACATCATGTTTTTTCAATTTACCTTCTTAAATATCTCTTCAGTTTCACTTCTTTTTTACCCCCTACCAGCTTTCCCTTCAATTTTGCCTTCATTGTGTCTGTTAGATTGCTATAATATCAACCTACTTTTCTATAGTTTGAATGCTTGTCCCCTCCAAAACTCATGTTGAAATTTAATTACAACTGTAACAGTATTAAGAGGTGGGATCTTTGAGAGGTGATCAGGCCATGAGGGCTTTGTTTTCAGGGGTGGGATTAATGCTATTGTAAAAGATTGAGTTTGTCCCTCTTTTGCCCCTTTACTCATCTGCCTTCTGCCATGTGATGATGCAGCATGAAGGACCTTGTCAGATGCTGGTGCCTTGATCTTGGACTTCCAAGCCTTCAGAACCGTAAGCCAATAGTTTTTGTTTATTATAAATTACTCAGTCTCAAGTATTTTGTTATAGCAACACAAAACAGACTAAGGCACCACCCTGTAGTTATTTTATCTTGTGTTTTCCATCTTCTCCAATGCCTCTTAAATTTGAACCTACACTTTAATGGCAGACTAAGCAACTCAGACCAACCTTTCCAGCTGAAGACATATAAAATAGCTAGATTAACTTTTTAAGAAAAAAAATTTTAAAGCCTCAAAAAGTTTACCAGGTAATGAAGAATATCTGACAGAAGAGGTAAATAATTTTAGGCAATAATGACTGAAAAATTTCCATTACACATTAAAGACAAAATTTAAGACCATAGAAAACATCAGAAAAGACAAATAAAATTTACATTCAGACATATCAATGTGAAAGTGCCGAAAAACAAAGCAAAACAAACAAAAAACCAAATCATCCAAAGAAGAACAGAGCTTGCCTTCAAAAACCTAAACAGAGAGAGTTAACTTCTCAACAGTTCTAGTTAAAGCCAGAAAACAGGGGAATGGGATGTTTAATACCCTGAAAGAAAATAACTGACAAACAAGAATTCTATAGAATATGAAATATCCTTAAGGAATTATGGTGGAAAAAGGAACTTTAAAACCAAAATTGAGAGTAATTGCCATTAGAAAATGCAAATTAAGGAAACTACTAAAGGGTCCTCTTCAGGAGAAGGAAAACATCATCAGTAGAAGGTCAGATATGCAGGAAGAAATGATGAACAACAAGAGAGAAAAATATGTTGATATATCTAAATGAATGAGTAAAAATTGGGGTTTAAAATATGTGATAACAATTGCATACAAGTTGGAGAGAGTGGCCAAATGGATTTGAAGTTTTTCTAGGTCCTTGCTGTATTCGAGAGGAAGGTCAAAATAAAAATTGACTTTCGTAATCTTTTAAAGTCAAGGATGCATGCTGCAATTTATAATGTAGCCTCTAAATAGAATAGTAAAAAAGTGTATAACTGCCAAACTAACAGAAGGAGAATGAAATAATAAAAATGCTTGATTATGCAACTGTCATAGTCCATTTGTGCTGTTATAACAAAATATCCAAGACCTGGTAATTTATAAATAATAGAAATTTATTATTGCTCACAATTCTGGAGGATGGGAAATTCAATATTAAGGCACCAGCAGGTTCAGTGTCTCATGAGGGCCTGATCTCTGCTTCAAAGATGGCATTTTGTTGAGGCATCCTTACATGGCAGAAGGAAGAAAGTCAAAAGACTGAAAAAACATCTGTTCACTCCAGCCCTTTTATAAGGCACTGATCACTCATGAGGGTAGAGTCCCATTGGTGGGACATGCAAAGGATAGACATCCCCATTCCAAAAGTGAGCAATGGACAAGAAGAAAGGGGTAACACAGGTCCCAAGGAAGTCCAAAATCCAATAAAACAAACAACATTAAACCTTGAGCCTTGAGAATAATGTTCTTTGAATCCATATCCTACCTTCTAGACATACTAGGTGGGGGTTGGGCCCCTAAATGCCTGGAGGGCCCGCCTGGCTTTGCTGGGTGCAGCCCACACAGAAGCTCTCAGAGGTTGAAGTTGGGTGCCTGCAGCTCTCTCCGGCTGGAATTGCACTCTGCTGGCTCTATAATTTTGGAGTTTCAGAGGTGCCTCTGTCCACATGGTTCTGCTGGGCATTGCCCTAGGGAAATACTCTGTGGTAGCCCTATCCCTATGGCTTCTCTGGGCATTGCCCTAGTGGGGACTCTCTGCATTGATCCCACTCCCCTGGTTCCACTAGGCATTGCCCTAGTGGGGGCTCTCTGAGTGGCCCTGCCCCCATGGCAATTATCTGCCTGGGTTCTGAGACTCTTCAGAGCATATTTTAAAATCTAGGTGGAGGTAGCTATGGCTCTGAAGGTCTTGCCCTCCGAATGCCTGTAGAATCAGCACTGTGTGGATGCTAGCTAGGTTAACAGCCTGTACTTTTCAGAGCAACTGTCTGAGCCACACCTGGGCCTGCTTGAGCCACAGCTGGGATGACTGAGGAACACTGTACTAGAATGTAGGGAGCAGAGACTTGAGGCAGCACAGGGCAGCAAATGCCGAGGCCCCTCTTTTGACATAGTTCTGTTTCCCAGGCCTTGGCACTCTGGGCCTGCGATCAGAGGGGTAGCACCCATAATCTTGAAATGATTTCAGATCATTCTTTCATTGTCTTGATGAAAAGCATCTGGTTTCCTTCTATCCATAGTAATCTCCTTTAAAATTGTTAAGAGGCAGTTGTTAATTTTTAAGAGGCAATTTTATAGTATTAAGTGTCAAAAAAGAGGAAAGATCACAAATTAACAACTTAACGTTGCACCTCAAGGAACTCAAAAAACAAGAACAAACCATATGCACAGTTAGCAGAAGAAAAGAAATAGCAAAGATCAGAGCAGAACTAAATGAAATAGAGACAAAAAAATACAAAGGATCAACAAAATGAAAAGTTGGTTTTTCAAAAAGAAAACCAAAATTGATGATCCTCTAGTTAGACTAACCAGGAAAAGAGGAGAGAAGATCCAAAAAATCACCATCAGAAATGAAAAAGGAGACATTACAACTTATACCACAGAAATACAAAAGATCATCAGAGACTATATGCTCACAAACCATTAATTAGAAATCCTAGAGGAAATGGATGAATTCCTGAAAACATACAATCTTCCAACATTGAACCAGGAAGAAACAGAACTCTTGAATAGATCAATATAGTAAGTAGCAAGATTGAATCCGTAATAAAAAAATATCCCAAGAAAAACAACATAAAAGGTCAGGCCCAGATGGATTTGCAGCTGAATTCTACCAGATGCACAAAGAACTGATGCCAGTCCTACCAAAACTGTTCCAAAAGATTAAGAAGGCTGGAAACCTCCCTAACTCATTCTATGATGCCACTATCACCCCGATACCAAAGCCGAGAAAAGATGCACAAAAAAAGAAAACTACAGACCAAAATCACTGATGAACTTAGAAGTAAAAATATGCAAGAAAATACTTAGTAAACTGAATCCAACAGCACATCAAAAGGATAATACACCATGATCAAGTGGGTTTTATCCTAGAGATACAAGGATGGTTCAACATATGCAAGTCAATAAATGTGATTTACCACATAAACAGAATTAAAAACAAAAACCATGTGATCATCTCAATAGATGCAGAAAAAGAATTTGACAAAATACAGCATCACTTCATGGAAAAACCCTCCACAAACTTGGCATAGAAGGAACATACCTCAAAATAATAAATGCTATATATAAGAAACCTACAGCCAACATCATATTGAATGGGGAAAAGTTGAAAGCATTTCCTCTGAGAATACAAACAAGACAAGGATGCCCACTTTTGTCACTTCTAATCAACATAGTACTGTAAGTCCTAGTCAGAGCAATCAGGCAAGAGAAAGAAATAAAAGGCATCCAAATTGAAAAAGAAGAAATCAAATTATTTCTATTTATTGATGATATGATTTTTATACCTACAAAACCGTAAGGACTCCTCCAAAAGAATCCTAGATTTGACAGATGAATTCAGCAAAAGTCTCAGTTTATAAAATTAATGCACAAAAATCAATAGCATTTCTATACACCAACAGTGACCAAGCTGAGAACCAAATCAAGAACTCAATCTCATTTACAATAGCTGCAAAAAAATATACCTAGGAATACATTTAATCAAGGAGGTAAAATATCTCTAGAAGGAGAACTATAAATCATTGCTAAAAGGTATCATAGATGACACAAATGGAAAAATATCCCATGCTCATGAATTGGAAGAATCAATATTGTTAAAATAGCCATAATTTCCAAAGCAATCTGTAGATTCAATGCAATTTCTATCAAAATACCAATGCCATTTCTCACAGAATCAGAAAAAACTATTCTAAAATTCATATGGAACCAAAAATACCACAAATAACAAAAGCAATCCTAAGCAAAAAGAACAAAACTGGAGGCATCACATTACCTGACTTCAAATTATACTGTAAGGCAATAGTAACCAAAACAGCATGGTACTGGAATAAAAGTAGACACATAGATCAATGGAACAGAATAGAGAACAACCCAGAAATAAAACCATATTCATACAACCAACCAATCTTTGAAAAGCAGACAAAAATACCCTATTCAATAAATGGTGCTGAGAAAATTGGATAGCCATATGCAGAAGAATGAAACTGGATCTCCATCTCTTATCATATACAAAAATTAACTCAGGATGGATTAAAGACTTAAATGTAAGGCCAGAAACAATAAAAATCCTAGAAGAATACCTAGGAAAAACTCTTCTGGACATTGGCCTAGGCAAAGAATTTATAACTAAGACTCTAAAATCAAATGCAATAAAAACAAAAATAGACAAATGGAACTTAATTGAGCTAAAAACTCTGCACAGCAAAAGAAATAATCAACAGAGCAAGTAGACAACCTACAAAATGAGAGAAAATATTTGCAAACTATGAGTTTGACAAATGTCTAACATGCAATATCTACAAGGAACTCAAGCAACTCATCAAGAGAAAAAAAACCCATTAAAATGTGGGCAAATGACATGAAAGGGCATCTCTTAGAGGAAGATATACAAATGACCAAAAAATATGAAAAAATGCTTAACATCACTAATCAGCAGGTAAATGCAAATTAAAACCCACAGTGAGATACTATCTTACTCCAATTAAAGTAGAGAGGTGAGAAAAGAAAAAAGAATGAAAGGAAATTAAGAATGCCTACAAGATATAAAAAATAATGTCAAAAGAGCAAATCTAAGTCTTATTTGCATTCAAGAGAAGGTTAGAAAACAGCAAGGTGTAAAAGGCTTATTCAAGCAAATATTATAATAAAAAAACCTTTCCAAACCTGTAGAATGATGTAGATATCCAGGTATGGGAAGGTCAGGGATCACCAAACACATTCAACCCAAATAATGTTATCCCAAGGCGCATAATAAACTCTCAAAGGTGAAGGACAAAGAGAGGATTCAAAAGCAGCAAAAGAAAAGAAATGAATAACATATAAAGGAGCTATGATTCATTTGGCACTAGACTTCTCACCAGAAACCATTTAAGCCAGGAAGGAGTGGGACAACATATTCAAGTGTTGAGGGTGGGGAACCAACAACTGCCAACCAATAATTCTGTAGCCAGAAAGGAGGAGGAGAGCAGCTTTCCCACTGGGAAAAGATCCTATGGCTTCCTTTCTCTGACTTCTGGAAAAAGCTTAACTGGAACTTTACATGTAACTTTTTCCTTTCCTTGGTATTTTCTGAACTTTCAAACTGTAAAACTTTACACGTTGTTTCACCTAAAAATATCTATATGTCTATATGTTTGTGTGTCCATATATGTTATGTGTATGTAATGTTTCACTACCAAAATATACAAAAGAGCTCTAATTAATTGGCTTAAAGAAAAAGTAAGCACTTACATCAAATATTGTATTAAAAACAGAATAGAAAATAACTTATGAGTAAGAAAAAGAGACGTAAAAAGGCAATGACTATGGAAATATATTTTTGGTAAGAAAGGTTAAACGAAAGAAGAACAATATTACAAAAAAAGGATCTTGTATAATATTTTTCTCCTAAAATGACTGATTATTTAGGAAAAGGGAAAGTTAGGACAAAACAGAAAGTTTTAGACATGTGTGGAGAAGGTCTGCGAAAGCTGGGATAAAGTTTATAAAAGAAAATTTATGAAGAAATTAGTATGTGATCTAGTTGGCTATAATTTTTTAAAAAATTTGGTTAAAACAAAGTTTTCTTAAAATATTAATTCACTCCTCATAAAATTACATGATACACTCATTTTGATTTTATAACCTGTTGTATTTTTTAATTAAAACTATCTCACTACAGAAGGTTTTTCTTTACTTTTTCAGTAACTGGCCTAAAAGAAGCAAACATTTTATGCTTTGTCAAAATAATCCCTCGTATTATCTTTGTTGAGTTTTTGACTAACTAGAACGAAACTAAACTTTGAGGGCAGAGGTTTATACCCATATACTTTTTACATTGCCTTTAAAGTCTTCCAAAGACTATCACTCCTGGGGAAATAAAAGCCATTGTTTTATAAGTGACCTGTGATTTTATGTAAAAAATATTTTAGACCTATAATGTTTGACAGGCTTTCCAAGAAAAAAAATTCTAAATTCATTTTTAATCTCAAACTAGCTTTTAATAATAGAGACACCAGAAGTCCAAAAAAATTTATTAAGCTTACTGGTATGTTAAACTGTATTAAATAAATAACAAAGTTTGTCTAATATCTCTAGGATTTAAACTGTTAAATTCTGCCTGGCCCAACCTTATTCACTGCTGTAAGGGCCAATTTCAAGGGATAAAACTGGTAAACATTTGGATCCCTTGTAGTCTTTCTCTACCCCTACTTGACAGTAAAACTCACTGGACAACTTCTTAAAGGGACTGCAACACTTACAGCCTAGAGACTAAATTTTATTCAAGGATTTTCCAGGACAAACTAGGTTCCCTTCAACCTGTAAAGAGTTCCTTTTAAATAATTATCACTGCTTCCATCAGTACAGCTGAGCTTCAAATCCTGTCCTAGTGTCATCTCTTTGGACTCAAAGCTACAGACCCTCCAAAACCTGTTTCTACCCACAACAAACTCCCTGAAAGTTCAGGCCATCATGGATACCAGGCTCCAATAATATGCTGTGGTATATATGGATCCTTATTGCCCTTTGCCTCCTCTTTATACTTCTTGTATCAATCTATAAATACTGCCACAGCCCAACTTACATTGTGGCCTGATCAGTCCTTTGCCCATGCTGAAAATCCTGATAATAATAACCTTACTTTCCAGCCCCCACTATGGGCACTCTATGGCATCTCTATCTGCCTACAGTCCAAGAGACAGTCTACCTTCTCAAATCTGTAAACTCTTCTTCCAATATGATCTTAGACTAAGGCCACTAGTGGCTCTACTTTTAGCTCTCATTTCTGGACTCTATATTCTCCACTATCTAATAACATTAATACAAAACCAAATTCAGACCTAATCCAATTTTTAAGACAGTCCATTTTCGACAGCAGAAGAATATGAACTACAGCCTCAACCATATCTTGAGGACACAGTCACATCTTCTGTGATAATCTCTTCTCCAAAGAAAGGCAGGAAAACAACTCTTAGACTTTGACATCCTTGCAGTTCTTGTTACCTACCTGCTGCAACTTGGCCTGGCTGCTGGCAGCCCCTGCTCTTCCTTTGGCATGCCACACCATGTCCCTGCTCTCTTTCCCTCCTTTCCCTTCTGTCTTTCTTTTTCTCTCCCCTTCTCTCTCTTTCTTTCTCTCTCTCTCTCCCCGCTCCCTCCCTCCCTCCTCTAAAAGGACAAAATAAACCTTTTTTACTCTTATATCTTAATTTCTGCATGAGAAATCATTCTCCACTCAGGCCATGAACACCTACTAGCCTTTCCACTCTAACAAATACAAATTGCCAAATTGTTTCTTATCTGCTTAGATTATGTACTCCATCTTCTCCCAGATTTGTAGCTATCTTTTGGAACAATGATGATGCCAAATTCATAGTTGTTAGGTTTGTTCCAGGTGGGAACCTGAAAAGTATGTATAGGGCAGAATGTGGTTAATGCAAAACTTAGGCTTGTAAAACAATAGCTGTAGGAGTCTGGAGAGTCCCCGGACATTGTAGATCTAACTGACAGCAGCAGCCAACATTCCTTCCTCCTCCCTCCCTGATAGAGAGGAAGGTTATCCCTCCCTAGCTCACCTGATAAGAATGAGGCCAGAGCAGAAGGATGGATGTGACTGGGACAAAGGAGTTGTAGGAGTTGGCTGTTTGAAAAAGAATTTATTACAAACAGCTGTTCTGCCCACCCACCGTCCTCTGCCATACACGAACTGCAAGTAGCAGGAGGCAATTCTTCACCTGCCTGACCACAACAACAATACGGATCAGGAGTCAGCCCAGAACCAAAGAACTGAACAGGGCGAGTGGGAGGGGGTCAGCTATCCCCGTTTATAAAAACTCTCACAAAACCCCCTTCTGTGCTGACTGTCTTTTCGGACTCAGCCCACTCACACGCGGGAGAATAAACCAGCCTTGTTGCTCCCACGTAGCCTGTTTGTGAAATCTGTCCTTTGGGTTGTTCAACCTTTCAATATTTGTGTTCTCAGCATGTCTTAATCCCCCGTCTGACTGTTTCCTATGACTATTTACATTAGTTTCTGTTTTAGTTTCTGGGTTTGTTATTGTATCTCTCTGTCTCCTCCATTTCCCAAATTTTCCTTCACCTACCTGTGTCCCAAGGCTAAGTTTGTGTCTTCAGATTGCTGCAGAGAGATCTGCATGGAGAGTAGGTTCTTTCTCTGAGACTAACCGTGTGAGAGAGAACTGAATTTGCAGTCAACGCAGGAAGCACGAAACTGGTTTCACTTTCTTTTTTTTTTCTTTTAAATCAGCTGCTTAAAAGGAAGCCTGTTTTGTAAGGACGGCCTTGCTGACGTAACAGGAAATTATCTAATCCCGTAATTATAAATAACAGTAAAGATCAATCCTATGAGCTCTCTGCTCTCTCTGCTGGTAGGCAACCTGATGGGACTCTGTTTTCACAAAAGAGCCTAAAGGAAATGTAAATCTTTTTCTTTACATTCAGCAGCTCACAGCCTTTAGAATTTGTTTCTATGGCTTCCCAGGTATTCCTGAGAAGCTCTTGGACAGACAGCAGGGGGGTAAACTCCAGGCCTTTGTTTCCTGCCCAAAGCATATCTCAGGGGCAAAACACATTCCCTGCTATAAGTTTCAGAGATAACTAAGTCTCCAGGAAAAGAAGAAACAAGAAAGGCAATTACTATTTTTTTTGTCCCCATAAAAGAAGCAAGCCATTTGGCCTAGCTGCCAGCATCTCCCTTGTCTTTCTTTGGGATGCCACGCCATGTCCCTGCTCTCTTCTCACCCCACCCCCATGGCTCTCTGTCCTTCTAATAAGATAAAACAAACATTTTTACTTTTATATCTTAAACTCTGTGTGAGAAATCTTTCTCCACCCATGCCGTGAGCACCCACTAGGCTTTTCCACCCTAAAATGTTTATGGTTTATCATGATGCCTGGATTTAAAAATTAGCAAGAAACTGAAGTACACTCCTTAACAGTAGTCTCCACAAAATGAACTGTTCAGAATCAAATAATTCATAGTTTAGTTTGTCTTTCTATAAAACTTAAGAATCCAGAAATAAAATTTAACTTATGTTCCACAATTAATGTTTCATCATTATATCTTACTTAGAAATGACTGAAACATTTCATGAATACAATTTTAAGACTATTTTACTGAAAAAGATTTTTGAAACAATGAAAAGTTCATATATAAACTTTTATCCCGTTTACATTCACCTCCTTTACTCATTCTGAACAATCGTGCTTGAATTGCTCACTCTGTTACTGAAAGTTCTGCACTTATCCCTGAGGCTGCATCAGAATAACAAGGACAAGTGATTTGAGGAAAAGAAAATAGGAGTTTATTAATTTCTTTTCTTACTATTCAATTAGATTTATAGTTTTATTATTATTTTTATTTCAGAACATTACAGGGGCAGATACATTTTGGTTACATAATTTGCTTTTGTACAGTATGAATCAAAGTTATAAGTGTGCCCTTCAGCCAGTTAATGTGCATTATATCCATTTGGTGTGAATTTACCCATCCCCTCCCTCCCACCTGCTTGATTTCCCTTAAATTTAACATCCATATATGCACATAAGTGTTGATCAAGTAGTTCCAATTTAGTATCGAGTACAAGTGGTGTTTGTTTTTCCAAGGTCATGTACTCTGCCACATCACAAACTAACCCGTGCCTCACAATCAATCACTCTCTCAAAGCACAAACTAATCCTTGGTATCCCAAAAAGCCAAAGAGACTCGGGAGCTCAAATACAAAAAAGAGCAGAGGTCTGACCTGAGAGGGACTTAAGACTCCTGAGGCTCTGCGAGGAAGACAGAAGGTTGCCCCCGCCCCCCACCACCAAAAGGAAGTTACTGTGCTTTTCCTGTGTTTCTCACTCAAGGGGTCTCAGGATCATCCACAGTGTCCTTCATGTCCCTTAATTAATCGCCAGATTTGTCCAAAGACAAAACTACAACAAATTGAGTTTATATATTTATTTATTTTTATTTCAGAATATTACGGGGGGTACAAATGTTTAGGTTACATATATTGCCTTTGTACCAACCGAGTCAGAGCTACAAGTGTGCCCATCCCCCAGATGATGTGCACCTCATCCATTGGGTGTGCATATACCCATTCGCTCCTCACACCTCTCACTTGCTGGACACCTGATGAATGTTACTTCCGTACGTGCATATAACTGTTGATCAATTAGTACCAATTTGATGGTGAGTACATGTGGTGCTTGTTTTTCCATTCTTGCGATACTTCACTTAGTAGAATGGGCTCCAGCTCCATCCAGGATAAACCAAAAGGTGCTAGTTTTGTGGCTGAGTGGAACTCCGTGGTATACACATACCACATTTTGTTAATCCACTTATGTATTGATGCGCACTTGGGTTGTTTCCCCAACTTTGCAATTGCGAATTGTGCTGCTATAAACATTAGAGTATAGATGTCTTTATTATAGAATGTCTTTTTTTCCTTTGGGTAGATACCCATTAGTGGGATTGCTGGATCAAATGATAGTTCCACTTTTAGTTCTTTGAGGTATCTCCATATTACTTTCCATAGAGGTTGTACTAGTTTGCTACGGAAATAGCAGTGTATAAGTGTTTCTGTCTCTCTGCATCCATGCCAATATTTGTTCTTTTGAGACATTTTGATTAAAGCCATTCTCACTGGACTGAAGTGATATCTCATTGTGGTTTTGATTTGCATTTCCCTGATGATTAGAGATGTTGAGCATTTTTAAATATGTTTCTTGGCCATAAGTCTATCTTCTTTAGAAAAGTTTCTGTTCATGTTCTTTGCTCACTTTTTATGGGATCGTTTGATTTTTTCTTGCTGATTTTCCTGAGTTCTGTATAGATTCTAGTCATTAGCTCTTTGTTGGATGTATAACGTGTAAATATTTTCTCCCATTCTGTAGGTTGTGTATTCACTCTAATGGTAGTTTATTTGGCTGTGCAGAAGCTTTTTAATTTGATCAAGTCTCATTTGTTCATTTTTGTTGTTTCTGTGATTGCTTTTTGGGTCTTCTTCATAAATTCTTTGCCTAGGTCGATGTCTATAAGAGTTTTCCCAACATTTTTGTCCGGGATTCTTATGGTTTCATGCCTTAGGTTTAAGTCTGTTATCCATCATAAATTGATTTTTGTGAGAGGTGAGAGGCGTGGATCATATTTCAGTCCTCTACATATCGCTATCCAATTTTCCCAGCACCATTTATTGAATAGGGATTCTTTTCCCCAGTGTACGTTTTTATCTGCTTTGTCAAAGATCACATGGCTATATGAGGATGGTTTTATATTTGAGTTCTCAGTCATGTTCCCTTGGTCTATGTCTCTATTCTTGTGCCAGTACCATTCTGTTTGGTTTTTATAGCCTTGTAGTATAGCTTAAAGTCTGGGAAATTGATGCTTCCTAATTTGTTCTTTTTGCTTAAGGTTGTTTTGGCTATACTGGGCCTTCTCTGGATCCACACAAAGCATAGAATTATTTTTTCCAGATTTGCAAAAAATGATGTTGGTATTTTAATAGGGACTGTGTTGAATCTGTAGATCACATTGGGTAGTATAGACATTTTAACAATGTTGATTCTGCCGATCTGCAAGCACAGTATGGTTTTCTATCTGTTTGCATCCTCTGCTATTTCCTTCTTCAGTGTTTTCATAGTTCTCCCTGTAGTGGTCCTTCACCTCCTTAGTTAAATGTATTCCTAGGTATTTTATTTTCTTTGTTGCTGTTATGAAAGTTATTGAGTCTTTGATTTGGTTCTCAGCTTGACTGCTGTTGACATTTATGAATGCTACTAATTTGCGTACATTGATTTTGTATTGTAAGACTCTGCTGAACTTGTTTATCAATTCCAGTAGTCTCTTGGCAGAATCATTGGGGATTTCTAGATATAAGATCATATTGTCTGCAAAAAGCAAAAGTTTGACCTCGTCTGTCCTGATTTGGCTGCCCTTGATTTCCTTCTTTTATCTGATTGCTGTGGCTAAGGAATTCTAGTACTATGTTGAAGAGAAGTGGTGATAGACAGCAACCTTGTCTGGTACCAGTCCTAAGCAGAAATGCTTTCAATTTTTCCCCATTCAGTATGATGTTGGCTATGGATTTGTCATATATGGCTTTTATCATTTTGAGGTAAGTCCTGTCTATGCTTATTTTGTTAAGCATTCTTATCATAAAAGGGTGCTGAATTTGTTGAATGTTTTTTTTTTTTATTATTCCACACATGTTTATTGAGCTCTTTGCTAGAAGATGAACACTCCTAGGAGTAGCTTGAGAACTAAAGAGTAGAAGTAGGGAGGGAGAGAAGTCAATGAGGGAAATACTAGAGAAAATCAAGAATGAATCACAGGTTTCTAGTTTAGGTGAATGGGTAGATAGTGGATCAGGGCCACCATGTACAGTTTTGCAGGTTGTGAACTCACAAATGCAGAAGGAGGGGCAAGTTCAATGGGGAAGAGTCTTATTCTTGATATCACTTGATTTATGGTGTTGGAATGGACTGCAATGGAGAGAATTGTTTTGTTTTCTTAAAACAATGAATGCATGTCTTCTGTTTTCTCTTGAGTGGACCAGGAAATCCACTTCCCTGCTATATTCACTTGGTTCCTTACTTTTTTTTTCTGTGTCTACTGAGAGGATCACATGGTCTTTGTTTTTACTTCTATTTATGTGGTGAATTACGTTAATAGATCTGCATATGTTGAACCATCCCTGCATCTCTGGGATGAAGCCCACTTGGTTATGATGGATTATTTTTTTTTGATGAGCAGCTGAATTTGATTTGTTGGGATTTTATTGAGAATTTTTACATCTATATTCATAAGTGATTTTAGTTTATAGTTTTCTTTTCTTGTTGGTTCTTTTCCTGGCTTTGGTATCAGGGTGATGTTGGCTTAGTAAAACATGTTGGTGAGAATTCCTTCCATCTTGATGTTATGGAATAATTTCTGCAGAACAGGCACCAGTTGTTCTTTGTAAGTTTAGTAGAATTCAGGTGTGAAACCATCTGGTCTGGGACTCTGTTTTTTAGAAAGGCTTTTTATTACCGCTTCAATGTTGGTATTTGATATTGGTCTGTTCAGGAATTGTATTTATTCCTGACTGAGCTTAAGGAGACTGTGTTTATAAGGATTTGTCCATTTCCTCCACATTTTCCAGTTTAAGTGCATGGAGGTTTTTATAGTATTCATAGATGATATTTTGTATTTCCATT